GGGAGGGGCGGGGACAGAGGGGGAGGGGCCTGGGCGGAGGGGGAGGGGCCTGTCATGAGGCCAGTGGCCCATCACCTCCCCCCACCTCTCCAATATCTGGGCTCTCCTGGGCTGGAATTCTGCAATTCTGCCCCCTTGTCTATGTGAGGGTGCTTGTGCTTTCTCTCTGCTAGGAACGCCCCAGTAGCATAGCTGCAGCTGTGGTAAAGAGGGTTGCTTCCGTCCCTGTGGCAAACCCGTCTCTCAGAAGGGGAGTGATTCTTCCGGCCCATCACCTCCCCCCACCTCTCCAATATCTGGGCTCTCCTGGGCTGGAATTCTGCAATTCTGCCCCCTTGTCTATGTGAGGGTGCTTGTGCTTTCTCTCTGCTAGGAACGCCCCAGTAGCATAGCTGCAGCTGTGGTAAAGAGGGTTGCTTCCGTCCCTGTGGCAAACCCGTCTCTCAGAAGGGGAGTGATTCTTCCCTTGACCTTGCCACATCTTCACTGGGCTTCAGTCGGCATAGCTGCAGCACGGAGGGATGTGAGGTTTTTTTAATTCAGATTAACTTTCCTGACCGTCCCCATGTGAACGAGATCTTAGGCCAGGCCGGCGTGGACAGCCGCGGATCCTCTCTGCAGAAGTCTGTGACCGAAGTGAGGTGGTATTTTTAGCAGCAGGAACAAAGCAGAAGAGACTTCGCCTCAGTCCGCTTTCCCCTAAGTGGCTGGCTCTCCTCTTTTTGGCCCTTCTGGTCCAAAGCGTCAAGACGACCCCGATGTACGCGAGGCAGGTGCAGCTTCTTCAGTCCCCTTCCGTGGGTGCCTGTGTCTGAGGGTTGGTCTGCAGGGGAAAGTTAAGTCACTCGGGGTGTGAAAGTGTAGTTAAGCTAAGCTAACCTCCAGCTACAGCCTTTTGGGGAAGTGGATTAACTGCAGCAGCAGGAGAACCCCTCTTGTTGGAGTAGGTCGCGTTGCTGCTGTAGTGTTAGAAGTGCAGACCTGGCTTCGGTCTGCTTCCCCTAAGCAGCTAGCTCTCCTCTTTCTGGTCCCCCTTGTCCAAACTATCAAGCTAACAGCCACTGCTCAGCAAAAATAATTATCTAGAGGCGTTCTCTGCTTCCTGCTCGTCTCTCCCCCCCACACACATTGAATTAAACCAATATATAACCATGATTCTGGGAGGCATTCATGTGAGCAAGACACGAGAAGTCATTCTTCCGCTCTGCTCCGCGCTGATTAGGCCTCAATTGGAGTATTGTGTCCAGTTCTGGGCACCGCATTTGAAGAAAGATGTGGAGAAATTGGAGAAGGTCCAGAGAAGAGCAACAAGAATGATGAAAGGTCTAGAGAACATGAGCTATGAGGGAAGGCTGAAAGAATTGGGCTTGTTTAGTTTAGAGAAGATTGAGGGGGGACGTGATCGTGGTTTGCAGGTGTCACAAGGAGAAGGGAGAAAAAATTGTTCTCCTTGACCTCTGAGGACAAGACAAGAAGCAATGGGCTTAAAGTGCAGCAAGGGAGGTTGAGGTTGGACATTAGGAAAAACTTCCTGTCCGAGTGGTTAAACAGTGGAATAAATTGCCCAGGGAGGTTGTGGAATCTCCATCCCTAAAGATATTTAAGTGCAGGGGCCTGGACTCGATGACCTCTCAAGGTCCCTTCCAGTTCTAGTATTCTATAATTCCTGGATCCAAACAATCGGGGCAACAGAGTGTGTTGATTCCAGAGCAGCTGCACATCCAGAGCATCTGTCTCCTGCATTCTGGAGCCGAGCGTTGAGCCACCTACCTCTGAAATCTGCTGCTCCTGCAGAAAGAGGCAAAAGGAAAAGCCCCTCTTATGCTTGGGCAGAAGGGAAAGCGGTTCCTTCCTGGCCCTTGCTCTGGTCAGCCTTGAAGCATGAGACCGACCTGGTGGTGAGGCATGGGCTTGGCTAGCACATACCTCACTCTCCCGGGGATGGGCCTGCAGGGCTAAGCGAGGACGCGTGCAGCGGGCAGGCCGATTTTGAGTATGAAGGAGCCTTTTGTGTGAATTGCTTTGGAGCTGAGAACCAGGCTGTAGAATCCAGCCAGACTGTTCAACTCTGCCCGCTAACACATCACCCTCGTCTCCGTGTCCAGCGCTGTCTCGGTCCTTCCCTCCTGCCCTGGCCTGAGGCGCCTTCTCTCCTGGCTCCCCTTTTCTGTGCTGAATTGTCATTTAGAGGAGGGGCGGGGTGGGCATTGGCTCCCCTCTGCTCCTGCCCCGGCCAGCCCAACCTCTGGCAGGAGCAAGGCTGCGTCCTCCCAGGGGTGTTAGTGCAGAGGGAGACTTTGCCCCGGGATGGGGGGAGGCCCTGGCGTATGTCGCAGGATGTAAGAGCTTGGTGGAGAGGAGGGAGACAGAAGCCAGTGGAGTGTTGTTCTAAGGGGTGGGAAGGAAAGGCACTTGCCTGGAGTCATGCCGACCTGGAAATAAACCCAGGAGTTCTGATGCCCAGTCCTGCTCTGTGCCATCCCTCCCCCCCCCATCTGCTCCTAGTTCTCCTGCCACCTAGCCCACTTTGCTCTCCTCCCCCAGCCTCCAGTGCCCACAAACGCACATGCGGAATCGGAGGGGTGAGTGGTGCCAGCCCCATACCAGTCTGCAAAGCTGCCTGGATCCTGGCACCGAAGGCTCTTTGGCGCGAAGAGCCATGTCCCCCTCCCGCGGAGCGGCGCAGAGGCAGGAATCCACCAGCGCTTGCTGCCAACTTCCAAAGGCTTCATTAATTCACTAGCTTGTTTGGGCCTTTCTTTCCCTGCGCTGGTATGTGCTTAACCCTTGGCGTGCCTGGCCCGGGGCAAGCCTGGTGCCCTGTTGTGGCTGGGGCTGTACCTTGCCCCGCAGGCATGCGGGGGACGTGCCCCCTGGACTCCTCCCTGTCTGCAGATGGAGGTTGCGCCGAGCTCTGACCACTGAGCATGACTGCCCGTGGCTCCTGGCTGCTGGATCACCCTCCCCTTTCTGCGGTGGTGCCAGCCATCTGTGCCCTCCCCCCACCGCGCACACAGGCAGTTCTCACAGAAAGCTAAAAATAATCTGCCCTGAAATGCGAACAGAAACTAGCAGGCTGGTTCCCTCTGGGCCCCTGGCCTGCTCAGAGTATCCGCATTAACCCTTCCAAGGAGGTCAGGTTTGATTGAACCAGGTTCATCCACCTCCCAGGCACCTAGAGGGGGCTGGTGTAGCCCCCCATGTGGCGCTTGGCCTCCAGCCACCCATCACTTAGGCCACCTGTTCCGGGGTGACGAAGGACAACTGTCGCCGAGCCTCCCCGGACAGGGTTCAGCTGCAGCTTGATGCTGGGCCCAGCCCTAGAGACGAATCCATCCCAGGGACCCTACCACCCAGGTCCTTAGCACTGTTCCCTCTAATCTTTCCCATCTACGAGCAGAATAAATTTTGTTCTGTGCACCAAAGCATGTGCAAATGTGCACCACCAGGAGGAACACAAACCTTTCTGAGGGTGCTCTGCTAAAGAGCTGGGAATCTCTTCTGAGCAGCCACATATAAGCACCTAGTGTACAGGGACTTGGTTCCCTTTTGCTATTTCCCTGGGCTGCTACCTTCCAAGCCCTCCCCTCTCCCCCGCCCCATTTTCTCCCTCCTCCTTCTGGATTCCTTGTAGTCTTTTTCTTTCATGGCAAATCAAGGTGGACTGGTTAATGTGTTGTCCCCCCCACCTCTCCTGTTTAAATACCCAGAGGTTTGTTCTCTCCTTCTGTGTCGGTCTCAAGACCATTCTGTAACTGCCTCCTTTCTCCTCTGTTTTCCCTGAATAACCTAATGTAACGTGTTACATGAAGCTGTTTACATTCCTCCGAGCTTTTCCCTTGTTATCAAGGCGCTTACATACCTCTGCAAGGTGATCAATTGTTTCTCCTGCCTCACAGTGTGTATATGTAGAGTCCACTTTTGTGTTTACTGATTCAAGCCACAGGGACCAATTCATACGCTGCACAAAATCACTTTGCTTTTCCCAGCGGGGCCCTAAGGTTTGTCGTCATCCTCCATTCTAGGGCACAAACCAAAAACTCTTTTTTTCCCTCCCCTTCCCCCCCCCACCCTCGCCATTGATTACCTATTTTGCGTTCCTTTGAAATTTTTGCAGCGTGAGGCTTTTTGACTTGCAATTGACTCATGAGACAAGGGGAGGTCAAATCTTGTATTGGAGCCACTTCTGTTGAAGGGTTCTGTTTGGCTAGAAGGCCTCTCTCTCTCTCTCTCTCTCTCTCTCTCTCCAAAATAAAAGATCTTCCCTCACTTACCTGGTCTCCCTAATAACCAGGCACTGCTCAGACACACT